GGAGATAGGAGGGGCGGTATGGTAATCCTGAGTGGTTAACACGTTCGCTCGTCACGCCGAAGACCCGAGTTCGATTCCCCACATGTAGGTACAATGTGAAGCCCATTTCTGGTGTCCCCGCAATGATATTGCTGGAATATTGCTAAAAGCGGCGTAAAATTCAAACTCACTCACACACACTCAATTTCAAAGGAAATGTCTCCCGCAATTTGAGTGGTGTCCCCAGAATTACCGTGGTATGAACTGCAAAAAGTCGATAAAACCTGACGTGACTTGACTTTTCTCTGCATATGTTAGCAGTATATTTTATGTTGATTCATTTACCCATGCTCATGACATACAAGTCCTGCAGCCCCTAGACGCTGGGGATTATCCAGCCATTCAAGGAAGCTCATTACAGGAGACATCAGCTCAATCACCTTGTTGATTGCACAGGGCCTCTTCCTGGCCTATCTGGTTATAATGCCACCCTGGATATAATGTCATATTTTCTCCCTGGACAAACGGTGGCATTATAACCGAGGTATACTCGTACTCGAAATCGTACAATAAACCTTAGATTTTTAGTCTCCTGAGCATGAAACGGTTTTATCGCTTACATTTGTTCGTACCAACTCTGCGGTTAAGCTCAGTTAGGTCTATATTTAGTCATCGTGGCATAATTTCCAAGTAATGTATTGATATTCCGAAAGCGAATCACGACAGCACAGGCGAACATAGACTAAGGCTTAACCTCTGAATATATAATTTTGACAATAACAAACAAGCCCATTTTTGAAGTGAAAAAGAGCCCTAGGGAGACCAGAGATTCAGAACCTGGAGGAAATCTAGACTTGCTTTATTTAGGGCTTTAGCACTGCAGAGAGGGCTTGGCAGTAGGGAAATTAATGTGGTTCAGGGACTGTGAAACAGACTAAGGCGAACACAATGGAAGCTTCGAGAGAGCATCACTGATACCGTACTTATTGTAGAAACAACCCCTGTAATTATTGTCAGTCCCAGGCCTCATGACATACTACCAATGGCTCTACATTAGTTCTGTTATAAGCGCCCTGGCTGTGTTATTCCCAGCTCAGTGTAGCTAATACAGTCAAATCCCGATGAGTCGAATGTCGGTGTCTCGAATATTATGCATAACTCGAAGTCCCTGTCGGTCCCGACCATTCCCTGTAATAGTTGTCATCATTTGAATACCGGTTACACGAATTCGTCTCATAAATACACACGATGACTCGAAAAGGAAATTTGGTCCCATGAGATTCAAACAACAGCAATCTTGTATACATAAGCCGAAGTCAGTCAATGAGAAGTTGATTGGTGTAGCAAACTGATCCAATTAACAAACCAGCGCGGCTCACACCTTTCCGCCATTTTACGGAAATCACTGTCTGTGCTAATCAGACTGGAACTGATAAGGTGCCCCTATTAGTGATATGGAAATCATTAGATAAACAAATGCTTAGGCCGAGGAATTAGGACTGGATCATCTTTTTTTCTACCCTGATGGACATACCTATGTCTCGAATACATGGATAAGTCGAATTTATTACTTGGTCCCCAGCGATTCGACTCATCGGGATTTGACTGTAATTATTATTAGAAGAAACACGGTAGTCTATTTACAACGCTTGGCTTGTTGCACAACACAGAACTAAAAATAAATACACCTCACAGCTGACGCCAATGAGATTCAAATATGAATCGAACAGATTACTTTCGTGGAGAGACAGTTTTTAGGATCCATGCTTACAATAGGCTTAGGTATTTAAACCAAATTTGACCCCACATCATAGTTTTCTGTTGAATCTATGATTTGATCCTTAGCAAGTGTGAATAGTATAGATGGAATATTGCTGAAAGCGGCGTAAAACAATACTCACTCACGCAACCATGTTTTCATTTGGACGTAATATGACGAGGCACGAAAGCATTAAAAAGTTTATTTCTACATTTTCATCTATTTCGAACTGTCTTGCCTTAAATCAATCATAAAGGTTTATTAAACACTTGTACATATGACATGTCAGGATCCATGAATTATCACTGAATACCCGTGTCTCTTTCGTGGTGAAGACAAGTTGAACCTTACACGTAATTAGCCTATGAATACCACACCTATAGGGGCGCTTTTCCGTAACACACACACACACACACACACACACACACACACACACACACACACACACACACACACACACACACACACACACACACACACACACACACACACACACACACACACACACACACACACACACACACACACTAAATATCTTGTACTTGTTATGCTGTACAGATCGTGACGCATGATAAACTACCTCCTATTAAAAAACCCAACAACAATTATAAAGCCAAAAACCAGCCCAAAATATCAATGGACGGTATGAAATGACACTTCAGCCCAGAATAATTATTAACATTATCAACAAATATAATTTTGTGTCTTACGCAGAACATTTTGGGTCAGTGCGCTTGGCCTAATCCGCCTCATACACATTCTATGCAAGACGGTTTATACAGAAGGTTTGTTATATAACATAAATTTGTCAAATAATACATGTCTATTTACGTAAAACCATTAAGTGCTTTGACGAAGTTCATTTAGAAGTTAAACAAGCGACATGACAGAAGTGCTGATAAATTAAGAACCATAGCTCTGCGGGATGTTGAAATATTTGGGTATTCCTTAGTTGGAATATAGAGACGTCTTTCTGGCTTGTAACAGGTAATAACATTATAAATATTTTGGCAACGTCCTGTTTCTCTTGATAGATAACGTATAGAAGTTCTGAATTATAGGATAGGTAAATACATGTAAATAGTTTTGGAAAGGCGAAGGATGTTTGAGTTAGGTTTGATTTTAAGGTAATGATAATATAGTCCTTTGAAAACTAGAGCTTGAAAATGAAAAATTGGAAAGGCAAAGGGTGTTTGAGTCAGGTTTGATTTTAAGGTAGTGATAATATAGTACTTTAAAAATTGGAGCTTGAAAATAAAAATTATGTCTGCCCCTGTTTTCAGAAATTGAGTACATTTGTGAATGAACTCTGTGGTTAAAGCGTTCGCTCGTCACGCCAAAGACCGGGTTCGATTCCCCACATGGGTACAATGTGTGAAACCCATTTCTGGTTCCCAGCCCTGATATTGCTGGAATATTGCTAAAAGCGGCGTAAAACTAAATTCACTCACTCATTAGTATTTTAAAGAAGTCTGTTTATAAAGTACACTGGATAATTTCATGGGTCCACTATTGCAGGTTAATCTATGTTAACATGGGAACATTATTAATAGATCCTACGGTATCAGGTAACATGCCGAGGATTGCACTGGACCAGGTGCTTATTTTTTCAGTCGGTGGATGTTTCGGCATGTACATGTTTTGGCATGTGAAAGGTTGGTCTCACGTTTGAGTAATAAACGTTTGAGTGAGTGAGTGAGTTTAGTTTTACGCCGCACTCAGCAATATTCCAGCTATATGGCGGCGGTTTGTAAATAGTCGAGTCTGGATCAGACAATCCAGTCATCAACATCATGCCCACCAATCCACTGACTGAGATACGGTGACGTGTCAACCAAATCAGCGAGCCTGACCACCCCCCCTCTTACGATAAGAGCAGGTTGCTGAAGACCAACCTAACCTGGATCACCACGGGTCTATTCTCAGAAAGGGCTATGTGAGGCATACAGACAGGTTTAGCACACGCCCACACACACTCATACACATACCTTGCCTTAAATATTATTCAATGCAGCCTTTTTACCTTGTGAATTCTTATACGACAATTAATAAGCGAATACATGCACAACTAAGTTTAGAAGCTTTGGTCACGTGTAATTTAACACACCTCTAGGTAACTACTACTAATGTTTTGGTGTTAAAGGGAAGTGTTTACTATACCACCTAAATATTCAAGGATCTGCAGGAATTAATTTTATTGGTATTTTTATGTTATGTTGATTTTGATTGCTTAGGTCAAAATGAAAGTCTTCCGAACGAAAATCGTGTTTTATCATTATGAAAAGTAGCAGTACCTGTTAAAAAACAGAATTTTTAGGTGAGAGAAAATCTGTTTTCTTGGTAAGAAAACCGTTTATATTTACAAATAGATACAATTAAATAGATAGGGAATAGCGTAGGCTAATTTGTTTGTAATCTCTTTTTTCCGAAGTCCTATAATCGGTTTAAGAAAGAGAATATAACATGCCGACAATTCAGTAGACACCTTATTAATATGATAAATTACATAAATCATTTTAAAGACTTTACCCTTTCTCTATCGTTCAAAGAACTGCGAGTGATTTTAAATAGCTGAAAATTCCCATGACTCACTATTTGTAGCCAACCTGTTATAGATCTAATGGCGCATTATTTAATCTCATGTGCATATTAACGTAACCTGTCGGAAACTGTCGGAAATATCCGAACACTAATAGTGTTGACATATTTCTCATGAATAAACAACGCCTTCTTGGAAGTCTAAAATACGCATACATTACGTAATCAAAATATTTACCTTTTTGATGTGCTACTATCGTACAACTATTCTGTAATGTACCATACACACGGGTTCCTACTGTCTATTTATACATAACAAAACGAGACTATCTCTATATACATTGAATAATAAGTAAGAATTACTTTTAGAATTATCACAAATACCAAATGCACAGTTGGCGGAAATACTACTTATATCAGAAAAAGGGAAAGTGAAATACGTAGCGAAGAAAATATCAGCAGCAGGTGCTTCTTACGCGTTCCAGGAAGTATATTCGACTCGAAGTATTCAGTTATGAATTTAATGTGAAATTGAAGTTCAAACTTACGCTCGTTCAATGTAAGGTGGTATAAACTAGGTATATTCCATCCGCATGTGTTGGCATGACGATAATTTGGATATTCCTGTCGATAACGTTAGTTATCAACGAGGTAGTGGTCGCTACTTTCGCTTTCATTCAAATGTCGCCAACCAACATCTAACCAGCTGATAGCCTTCTGACTTGATGTTTAAATAGAACATAAGCGTTTCCTGGATTTTCCTGATTTTCAAGAATTCTATTTGTACGTCTGATTCCAGTGGATATGAATCTGTTGACAAAGCTATATTGTGTTATATATATCTGTTACGTCAGATAACTTAAGTGACGATCGATGTCATATGCATTGTGAATGTATATATACTCTCATGCGTGTGAAACTGTGCTCATTTATACATTTCGAACGTGAGAGTTCGGTTATTCGTTGGATATCTATGCGTGGTAAGCATCAACTACTAGCTGCATGAAAACCTAGACTAAACACACATCTCAATGGGTAAGTACAACGATCTACGTGTGTTAACTTTGTACTCCTCAAGACCTGCTTAAATATACATGTATTAAGCAAGTGTTGTGGTCAATAACAATATAGCTGAAGTTCATCTTCTTGTGTTGATCATGATGTTCATCTCAAGGGTGGATACAGCTTTTTGAAAATGGTGGGGTGCACACTCTTGGGAAAGAGGGGTGCACACTTCATTTTCACCCGTTTTCACAGGTTATTAATAAAACTTTCAGGACAAAAAGGGGGCTGCGCACCCCTGCACCTATGCATCTTATAGGCAGAAATGTTGGTCCATTCTCTGTCTGTGTGTTGTAGTCAATCTGGAAAATGTGATTAAATTAGGGAGTTACAAATACAAAGTGCCTAAATATTTCAGACATGTTATGAATAGAACTGTTCGACTATTTACAAATTGACTGGGAATTATTAAGTGCTTCGATCTGAGGCCAAATATTAAGAAAGGAATATAAACTTTCACTTTCACTTTCTTGGAGTGTTATCATTTTCAGACATAATCAAATAAACCATCAAAACATGTTTATAATTTGGTGTCACAGAAGAGTTAATTATTGTCAATATGACAGTGAAATATTTAGGAGCGTAGGAAATAGCTTAAGTGAAGTTTTCTGTCATTTTCAACATTGACTGTAATAATTAATCATTCATATATGTAAAACAACAAGAAGCAATTAAGGTGAAAATGGATTGGATTTACTGTTGCTAGAACTACCTCTATTGTGTGTATTTTGGCTATTGTTTGTCCATACTTACCGCACATTGCCACACTGTCATTGGCCAGACATGATCCAGTGATAATTACAGACAATAATTATTTAACACTGTGATAATCATAGCTAGTCTTTCAGGATGATAGTTTCCTGATCTTTATATTTGCTTGATATTAACCTTCTAGAGAAAAAATTGTTTCACAAAACAGTGAGGACACCATAAATTATGTACCTGTAGTAAGTGTGTGTTTTCAATACTGGTCCCTCCTTATCACTGGGACCCGTTAAGGTTCGGGTTAGAATATTGATCTTCTGTAACCGATGCTTGTCGTAAGAGGCGACTAACGGGATCGGGTGGTCAGGCTCGCTGACTTGGTTGCCACATGTCATCGGTTCCCAACTGCGCAGATCAATGCTCATGCTGTTGATCACTGGATTGTCCCGTCCTGACTCGATTATTTACAGACTGCCGCCACATAGCTTGAATATTGCTGAGTGCGGCATAAAAATAAACTCACTCACCTAATCACTGTTGCGCAACAAGGTATACGTCTAAGAGTGAGTGAGTGAGTATGGTTTTACACTTCATTTAGCAATACACCAGCAATGTCAGGGTGGGGGGACACAAGAAATGGTTCTCTTTCTTGATAAAAAGTATTTCATATAGTATTTAAGGTACTTTGGCTTTACAAGATTATCCAGCTAATATAACATATAGGCAGAGTGTGTCTAACTGACTCACCTCTATGTGAACATCTGGTGTCAGATGATTCATAAACACATGCTAATGATATTGTTGGTATCAAACATTGAACTCTGCTTAAAGTTAAGATTTCCTATTTTAATGGGAATGCTTTTTGTTGCATTTCATTTAAATGTTTAAATTGATGTACATTGTATTTTAATGATTCCCTTAATTGTTTTGTATATTTTCTAAAATTTAGTTATTTCTGAGACTGCCTCTATGGCTTTAATGGATAGAGAGTCTGCACAAAGAGCAGATTTTCGATGTTGGATTTCTGACCACATCAGGAATGGTTGGTTCTGAAGTAGTATGCTTTGTCTGTATGGAATATCTGTGTTAAACTGTAGCATGGCATCACAGAGAGCCAGACCTATAAAGTTTGTCAAAGTACAAACAGTCATACACATATATATGCCTTGTCTGAATAAGAGCTATAACTGTATATAATTGCATTTTCAGATCCGCTTGTGTTCCTTAAGCAGCTGCATTCCTTTTTTTCCACTCCGGAAGAACATCATCATGGGGCAGGTAGATCTATTTTATATTCTGCTAAAAATACATGAACTTATATAGTTTTGAAGTTTTAGAGCATTATGCCAGTATCAGGTATATTGCAGTTATACTCTCTGAAGCTATAGTATAACCAACTGACTGACTGACTGAGTTTAGTTTTACGCCGCTTTTAGCAATATTCCAGCAATATCACGGCGGGGGACACCAGAAATGGGCTTAACACATTGTGCCCATGTGGGGAATCGAACCCGGGTCTTCGGCGTGACGAGCCAACGCTTTAACCACTAGGCTACCCCACCGCCCCAGTATAACCAAGCTGGTATATTCTCATAAGGTGAGGCTAATGCCACTCACAGTTATAATTACAGTTATTCTCTCTGAAGCTATAGTATAACCAAGCTGGTATACTTCTCATAAGGAGACACTACATACCACTCACAGCTATAATTACAGTTATACTATCCCAAGCTATAGTATAATGAAGCTGGTATGCTATATCATGAATTGCTCAATGGTTAGACAAAATTCTAGTCTATCAGTACATGCAACTATACCTGTTGTACTATGTCTATATCTAGCATCACCTTGGGCTTTCCTCTCTCACTGTGAAACATCTTAGTGTAGCATCTTTCCTGTGTTCCTTAGAGGAGTTAGTCTAGGTAAGGTGTTTGCTCTTAAAGCTAAAGACCCAGGTTTGCTTCTCCACATGTCATAGTGTAAAACCATTATCACTCACACCCTTGTTATCATTCACCATTATCACCCACACTCTTGTTATCATTCACCATTATCACTCACACCCTTGTTATCATTCACCGTTATCACCCACACTCTTGTTATCATTCACCATTATCACCCACACTCTTGTTATCATTCACCATTATCACCCACACTCTTGTTATCATTCACCATTATCACTCACACTCTTGTTATCATTCACCATTATCACCCACACTCTTGTTATCATTCACCATTATCACCCACACTCTTGTTATCATTCACCATTATCACTCACACCCTTGTTATCATTCACCGTTATCACCCACAGCCTTGTTATCATTCACCGTTATCACCCACATCTTGTTATCATTCACCGTTATCACCGACATCCTTGTTATCATTCACCGTTATCACCCACACCCTTGTTATCATTCACCATTATCACCCACACCCTTGTTATCATTCACCGTTATCACCTACACCCTTGTTATCATTCACCGTTATCACCTACACCCTTGTTATCATTCACTGTTATCATCCGCACCCTTGTTATCATTCACTGTTATCACCCACACCCTTGTTATCATTCACCGTTATCATCCGCACCCTTGTTATCATTCACTGTTATCACCCACACCCTTGTTATCATTCACCGTTATCACCCCCACCCTTGTTATCATTCTCCATTATCACCCACACCCTTGTTATCATTCACCGTTATCACCCACACCCTCGTTATCATTCACCATTATCACCCACACCCTTGTTATCATTCACAGTTATCACCCACACCCTTGTTATCATTCTATGCCATGATGCTCTCTGTATTGTTAAAGCATTTACTTACTGCTTTCCTATTGGCCAGACTATCCAGAAGATGATGTCTGAAACCAAGGACATGGAGGACTTGCTGCGGGAGGGCATAGAGAAGGTCATGAATTCAGAGTTCATGCCCATAGATTATGAGACATTGGTGACGTCCATGAAGGTTTGTCTCAGTCCAGCAGGAATTCCAGAAAAGACTCAGGCTATGATACTCATCTGCCAATTCACAGAGTATGCCTTGACACAGGTATGTTACCATGGTTGCACAAAGAAAGCAAGATATTCTTTTTCTTATGTGGATTATTGTTGTTAATGGGTGGTAAACAAACTCAGAGTTATTCATGGTAAATATAATAGCAGAAAATAATTTGTGAATGTATACTTTTCACTTTTATGCTGATACTTTATTATTAATCATCTTTATAAGTTTGCAGGATTCTTTCTACATTTAAGTATCTTTGGTGTATCATGAAATAATCAGAAAATCTCAGAAAAGTGCTGATATTTCTTAGTGTATTAGTGGTACTTAATATTTAATTTCTATTTTCAGGGGTGTGACATTTTTCAAGCTTTTCAATATTTCTACAGAAGTAAGTGAGATTGTTTTTTGCATCAAATTAGCTACAGATTTATAAATCCTGTTTATGTATAATATCAGTCAAAATATCCCGAAACTGCCTTTGTGTCAATTTTATCCTCAAATAATGAAAACGTTATTCTCCAACTTGCGTTATATGTAAAACATGCGTTATCATTAAGAAATGAACTGTTAAGCATTGATTAACTTTATTCCTTCCATCCTTGTATTATTGTGATCATTAATATATGAATATCATGTATTTTCCTTGTATGGGCCGGAGGCCTTTAAATACAATAAACACTTTGACTTGACTGTAAGTTAACCTTGCGACTATAAAAGCAAATTGTACTCAAGGCTATGGGAATTTATGCTTTAAATATGAGAGTAAGAATGAGATACTTTCCTATTTATAAACCGATGTGCTTAAATATAGTGATATATTTTTAAGTGATCATCCCTTTGGGAATGTTTTCAAAACATATGTCGAATGTGGTTGGTGCATTTTAATGTTTAAGTGGCACATTAGTGTTTTGTTATGCCTGTTTACTTGAAACAGTGTAATTTAGTCTAATTAACTGGTCACAAAAGGTGATAATGTTTTATTTTAGGTCATGGGCTTTAATACATGTGTCACTAGTAAGTGTTCACAGTGTATACATGTAAGTAAATGGAGACTATTTGTTGTGTGAAGCATCTTTTTTCTTGACGTGAGAACATTTTAGTTTCTTTTCTTTGCCCAGACAGGACTATCATTTAATTTGGGCACAATAAAATACTATTACATTATCCCTGCCTGTGTTTTGTTACAGCCATGATTCTTCTTGACATCACTGCCAGGCTGGATGGAAAGGAACCTGGTCAGGAACTGATCATAAATATGGCCTGTTCCAGTACTGGAAGCTTTCTGTGGAGGACCCTGTTCCTTGACAGTGATATATGGAGGATGAACGAAACGGTAATAAGCCATACTTCACCAGACATACCATCCTTAATAAAAACTATATGCTGAATAATTACAATGTTTTAAAAATCATAAAGATTGTTCAGGGCGCAATTCAAAGCATGTAGAATTTGCACTGGTGCAACCTGAAATTTGCAAAACCTCATATTTATACAAACTTGCACTGGTGCAACCTGAAACTACAAATCGTAATTTCATTTTTATACAAACTTGGTGCAACAAGTTCATTATGTGAGGTTGCACCAGGTGCAAGTAGGTTTCATTTCCTTCTGACTGAGCCCCATTGTTTATGGCATTGGGCAGGTAGGGGTTGAGAGTTGTTATATTCTGTGCCGTTTGATTTACTTAGGCTCAATGTGTTATCTGTTATTTGTTGGTTGGAATTTCAGATCATTCTGATTATGGTTGGTTTCACAAGAGTCAACATTTGATATTTGCCTAAGGACAAGGATACAGTTTTGACATGATACAGAATGTGTTATAAGGTCTCCATGAATTTTTATAAGTGCTCATATTTCTTGTTCATGGCTATCAGTGGGCCATATTGTTACTACAACTGCAACTACCTCACAGTAATTACTACCACTACTACCACTACCACTACAACTACCACCACCACCACCACTACAATTTCTACTACTACTTCTACGACTGCTAATACTATCACTGTTTTATTACTCAACAGAGCACACTACAGATGTTGAGAGACTTGAGAGAGTTGGTGTTTGAGTATATGAAGGAGAATCCAGCATTCTCGTTCTTCTTGTGCCTGGACTTGATCCGAGCATACATGATCGCTGGCAGAGGGTTCCCCCAAAAGCAAAAGACAAGGACAAGAGGTGATCTCATACTCCTTCTGGCCAAGTGCAGCTACCAAGCAGTAAGTCAATAATATTGTGTAATTTTGAATGTGTCCAATTTAAATATTTGTGAAATATGTGTGAAAATGTGAAAGAGTTTATGCTTGTATACACATTGCATTAATGAAATCATTTAATTTGCTCTATATAAATGTAAAAATGAGTTTTCCCCATTTATTCCTGTTTGTGCGAGAGAAATAAACATAACTGACAGGTCGTCTTGTTGTTTGCCTGTTGTAGGGGCAGTACAGACTCTGCACCAGATACAGTAAAGAGGGTACGTTCTTTTTAAATAGATCAGATTTCCGTTTAATAATATTACATTGTGAATATTACAATAGCATTCATTGCATACAGCTATCTTCACCTCGAACACAGGCTATCAACATGTCTTCAGGGAATCTGTGCATGCCAAATAATTCTAATCAGGATATGAAGCTAACACTAACATTACAAAGTGAATTTCGGTTGAACATTTTCTTCTGATACCTACAATGATAAAATGTTCAGGAACAGACATTACTTCCACCACTGTTGTTGATCAGTGGAGATAACTTCATATATTAAAGTTTTGACACAGGTGAAATAAACTGAGGGTGGAAATTTGACAGTTAGACAATGGTTAAAAACATTCTCATTATATAAACATCAAATGTTTTGATTACATACAATACCATTTAGAAAGTGGTCAAATGTAATATATGTTATATTTGGGATTACAATTTCTTAGTGAAAATTACAGATTCTAGTACTTTTTGGGGCCCATCCGGATTCAAAACCCACACCCTCAGTCAGGCACCTAATCGCCAGTGCACAAAGTCAGCTGCCTAACTCTACTCAGCCGCACTGACTTCCACATTGTAGATTTAAATCCCAGATGAGCCTCAACCCAAATTACAACGTTGTACTTAGCTAAGTGTAATCCTAAATATAGCCTATGTTTATCAAGATATTTTGCTTGTATATACTATTTTAAAGAGATGGACTCTACACAGTGAGTCTTACTTGTATGACATCTTGAATGAGATTGCTTGTATTATATGTGAAAAAATACATTAACAATAGACTCCATAAGAAAGTATGTTTGACTACTATTAAACCAATTTTAAAGGTCCTGCCAATATATGTTTACCAAATGCTTCTGCAAACATCTCTCGTCGAAATCAGAAGGTGATGGGAACATTTTAAGTGTTGGAAGAACTAGCTTTAGAATCATTATAGCTCTTCCAGGTACAGTGTAGTGAAGGTTACTAAATATCACAAAGTGTGAGGGGATGTGAATTGTGCTCAGTTTTTCAGCCTGTGTACCCCCTTTGTCATGTAATAGCCACCATATAGCTGGAATATTGCTGAGTGCTGTATAAACCTAGCCTCCCTCACTCCTTGGTCATGTCATGCTGTGTTTTTCAGCCTATGAGCTGTTTTGACTGCAGCAGCTACGTTCCCTATGAACTCTGGGCAAGAGCTCTTCACAAGAGTGGACAATACCGTGCAGCACTGGACAAGGTTGAATATGCTAAGGGAATGCATTCAGGTATAGTTGCCTGAAGTTACTCACTTCTGTACAGGTACCCGTGAAGATCGGATTAGAAATGGTCCCTCAGTAACCCATGGCCGTCGTAAGAGGTGACTAACTTGGGATCGCGTGGGCAAGCTCGCTGACTTGGCTGACACATGTCATCGTATCCCAATTGCGTACATTACTCATGCTGTTGATCACTGGATTGTCTGGTCCAGACTTGATTCTTTTACAGTTGCTGCCATATAGCTGAAATATTGTTTTGGCATAAAACAACCAACCAACCAACCAATCTGTGCAGGTGGAACTGGATGTCATGTTTGAGATGATCATTACAATCTGTAGTACAGTGACAATGTGATGTGGTCAGTTTCCAACTAGCGTGACTAGCAGTAATGGTATGTTGCTGGCCTAGTTATATAACAGATATCTTGACATCCATACTAAAATTGCTGATATCTTAAATTATCATGTTATCAGTTACATTGGTGTTTGGCTATTTATAGGTTGGCACTACCATTACAAAGTGTTACTAATGGTAATAATATTTTCTGTGCTATGTATAAATGTAGAAGGTTTTAAAAAAAAATCAATCCAAGTTGATACATATATACAGGACAAGAAAATAAAGCAGCATCTTCAGAGTATATGGACCAACTGCATCAGGGAGATGTCTGCATCTATGCAACAACCGACAGCAGAGCCAGATGCTGATTGGTTGACAGGGACCAACATAAGCACCATCCAGGTATCTGATATTAAACTTAACATAGATTATCTAATGGCATTTTATGTCTATTCGCAAATGTGCATACATGTTTGTGTATAAATGTTTCCTTTGTTTTTTATTTGAGATTTAACAATATCTCATCAATGGAGATCTTTAAATAACTTGAGAGTGATAGTGAGTGAGTGAGTATAGTTTTACACCGCAATATTCCAACAATATCAAGGCAGGGGACACAAGAGATGGGCTTCACACATTGTACACATGGGAGAAATTGAACCTTGGGCCTTCAGCGTGACAAAGAGCGAACGCTTATACCACTAGGTTACCCCACCACCTATAATGATATTTGAATGGAAGTTACCACATGTCTCAGGGGGCTGTTTTGTTTAATTCTCCCCATTATGATGTGTGTGTGGTGACTAGAGGATCCCTAAATGGGACTTGACAGACTGATGTGGAAATATGAAGTTGAAGATTCTTTCTCACCCCAAAAACACATTCGGCAGCTGAATCATTATCCGCAAATTAGAATGAATATCTGGCTTAAAATAGATTCAGGCCTATATTGAAGAATGGGGATAATGAGCGTCTGGAAAGAAATACATGTCGGGGCACTTTATGGAGAAAATATTGTATAGCTGATGACCTACGTCACTTCTGAATGTGATATTGTTTCATGTTATTCTGCATGTGTGTGCCCTGCACCCTGAGATGGATCTGATATCCCCATTGTTGTGACACAACCAGAACTTGTGTGTTCCAGTTGCGGCAAGCTTCCAGGCTCAGCGGGTAAGAACATCATGTGAAGAAAAACGGCATTCAAGACTGTGAGTTTGTGATCTAGACGTTTTTATGAAACTATGTTTATCATCACAGCACGGTGAAGAGATGCGTTTTATACATATATTACCAAAGAAAGTTTAGGACCACCAGTATGAATGAATCAGATGGTCATATCCAGTATTATAGTCATGACTCTACATACTGGCAAACAATGATAAGTTGGACCGGCGCAGAGAACACGTTTACGAGAATTAGACGGTGCGGCAACGAAACAAACGCATTTGGTTTGTGAAGGTAGAACGAATGTAGACTGGTGCGTGCGGTGCGTGACGGTGGTACATGAAGAATGTTGCATCTGCAGAGAGCAGGCGCTGTTAGAAGCTAGCTTATTATTGCGGACTGTCTCTCTTTAGCATCGCGCTACGCCCGATTTGCGGACAGCGTGACAGTAGCGAAGCGCCGGTGGCGCTGCTCATGCATGATAATGCAGGCCGGTGTCCGGGTCGATTGCTCAGCTTATCGCTTGTTTGCCGGTAGATATCGTGAAAAGTATGACTTACGGTAACGTGTTTGTGATGGCTGCAAATTGGAATTTGTGTGGTCATGGTCTGTTGCAAGACGAAGGTCCGCTTTCACAGTGAATCAGCATCGGCGCATAATTACATGTATTGTAAAATTGTTGGGAATATGACATCATAATGCGGTAAGGACCGTCACGATTTCGACCGGTCTAAACTTTATTATCGCAATAACAACAAACACATCTTCACTGTCTCTTTAATGATGATATCTAGTTCAAAACGATACAAATCTGAAACTCGAAAATACCATTTCTTCACCACCTGCTGGCCTGCTTCGCAACAATAAAGACTGATTGTCACAGCTATCAGAATCTCAAAGAATCCATCAAAGTACGAGAATACACACACATGCAAACTTCTGGTAATATCACATTAAAGTGACGTAGATCGCTGTAACCTGACTTATCTTCATTTCAACGTCCTGATTTTCAATATAGGCAACGAACCGGGATATCTTCAGCTGCCGAAATATGTTTAGTGAAAAAAATTAATTCAATATTTCCACATCATTCGAAGTCCCCATTGAGACCCGATACCGCACATCATAATGAAACAAAACGGCCCCTGAGCTGTTAACTGTTCAAACATTATAGATGATCGAATGTTTCGGTATAACGTTAAGCATGAGCAGTCTTTCCATGTGTTGCAATGTGAAGCCATTTCTGTGATATTGCTGGAGTGCGGTGTAAACTATATACGCTCTTTCGCAGCTCGCTGAATTTCCGTGATGAATGTTGTTAAATTCGAGTAAAACGAAAGGCTGTTATACGCAAACGTATGTAACGGCTTTACCGAATGGTGCCAAATGCCATTGAATCGCATGTTGTTTAATATCGAATACTTATGGATGATTAATACCAATCGGCGTCTTGGCTCTGCTGTCGGCTGCTCTTCTGATGCGGTAACAACTGTTGTCGCGTATTATATGTCGGCGGATTGTTTTTAAAACGCTTCACATTGCCGCGAAAGCACCGGAAAATATTATTACCGTGGCTGCCTAACCGATGATGGCAAACTATAACGATCAACGCAATGTAACTGTTATGGATATTCAAGATAATCACAACAGACACCGGTATGGATGTCAGATCTGTTACATATAACTGGGCCGGCAACATACCGTACTGCCGAGATCACGCTGGTTGAGCTGATGCATCATTGATCGCTGTGCTACTGAATTTGTAACAGTCGCATCTTATTCGTCGGTTCACTTAACGAATTGATTTTGTTGATTTGACGTAGCGGTAATGTTTCATTTGTAATGGCGGCGGCTGTGAAATGTCGAGTGTGGCGGGCGCAATCGGCGTGAACGGCTAACCGCGGTGAATGCGATATATTGATAAACGAGTCGCCTAATGGGGACCGTTTACCAGTCGGATAATGCGGTGCTGTGCGGAAGTGGTAACTTCGTATTTGCTCGCGCAATTTCGCCGGCATGTTCGGCAGCGATCGTGCTTTAAATCGCTCTTTGTTAATAACGAGTTATGGGGCACGATGGCGGCTTTCTTGACTTGAGCACGGCGTGAACATGTTCGGTGGACATGCGGCGCTCTGGAAAACATGTTCAGCATGTCGATTGTTTTGATTGTTTTACGGAACGGCTGAGCGCAATTCTACGTCCTCGCGCTTTGATGTTGCTGGAAGAGCTATGATAATGATTTCTGGACTCGACGCTAATCGTTTAAAATAACGCTAACGGATTTCGTTGGTGTTTGATAACTTTTGATGAAGCATTGACGGTAAAATTGGTTTTGTCAGTGGTCGATATATGTTTATGGGTCTTATTGATGTGCGCTCAATACGAAACGTCTCGTGAATGACCCTCTTCGCTGATAACGAATAAATGTAACCCAAAAACTGGCTGTTGCAATCGAAATGTTAACATAGGTTGCATTTGGGATTGCGCTTTCTTCAGTTGAGTACGGAATTCTGGTAGCTGGCGGACGAACAAATAGGTTAAATGGTAGATTAGGCTTGTGACGTGCGCAAATTGACTGAAATTATTTGAATCGAGTCGAACTGCTAGAATCTGTGCTTACTAAATCTGGCATATGTTGTTGACCGCTTTAAACGAACGACGTAATCAAAGTCGATTTGATGTTGTAATGATGTTTTGGCTTCATTAATCAACTTTGTCAAATTTCCGCCTCGGTTTATTGTCAAACGCACAATATATCGAGTTATCTCCGCTGATCAGCAATGATGTCTGTTCTAATTTGTCATTTAGCCAGGTATCAAGCAATGTTCAACCGAATTCACTTTGCCAATGTTCTATCCTGATTAGAAACCGTCCCTGGTTTATGTTGATAACACCGAGTAATAGTCTTATTCTTAATGATGCAATGTATTAAACGGAAAATCTGATCTGTTAAAAGAACATCTGTTGTACTGGCTGAACAGGCTAGCACAAACGACCTGTCATTCCATGTTCTCTCGCAAACGAAGATAAACAAATTTCATTTTACGATTTATACAAACGGAATTAATGATTTCGGTAATACGGCTATTATTCTGGCATAAACTAACTGCATTTTTCACGCATATTCTGAAGCTGTTAATTACGTCAAAAAGAATACGCAATATTGACTCGACTTATGATGCGGCGTCGCTTGTCTTTGTCTGCCAACGATAACTCGGATCGAAGTATCGAACGAGATAACTATTCTCCTTCATATACTCGAAACACCAACTATAACATCTGGTATTCTTCTCGATTGATAATAAAACAGTGAAACGATGATGATATTGCTGACGGTGGTTAATATGAAGCTTACTGATGACCGTGAACAGAAATATGTTGCCAAAATTGATAACGTGCGTAATATTGTCGCCGTCATGAGCAAATATCAAATCGACTCTGAAAACAACCATGTCGAATGATCGAAATTAAACAACGATAAATGCTCTATTCAATGCCATAAATAATGGTCGGTAGAGAAATGGCTACTTGCGCAGTAAACACTCATAATGAACTTGTTGCGCAATTTGTAAAATGAAATTACGACTTCAGTTTCGGTACCAGTCTGGTTTATATATGGTTTACCAAAATTTCCGGGTTGCACCAGTGCAAAATTCTACATGTGCGCCCTGTTTGTCTTTATGATTTTTTAAACGTATGATTATTCGGCATATGGCAGGATGGCGTAATCTGGTGAATGTAACTATTACCGTTCGTTCATCTCAGCATATCTGTCGAGAACGAGGGTCTCCGGCTTTCGATATACTGGAACGAGCCGTATTGTTCTGATCGGGTTCTCCGTCCGGCGCAATGATATTCGATCGCCGAACGCTTCGGTACGGGCGAAGGATAATGACCAGTACGGTGATATTTAAAGTAAATGATGGTCTATTCGCGAACAAACTAAATATTCTCGCGTCGAAAAGGTATTTCGCACAAAATGGTGCCCGTTGCCATTAATTTTATTACTGTGGAACGCTTTATGACGTATTAGCCCTTGTTTGTCGCGGCGATGAACCGGATGAACTAAATTACGCTGTTTCGAAGTGAACAGGCATCAACAAACGCTAATGCCCTTAGCTGATAAAGATGTGACCGTTCGACATCGATTTGCGGCATTGCGAGGTCGGTCGCTTAAAATATGTCTTCATGACGCGTCGATTTCTTGCTCTCGCATGGTCCCGCGTACTGATTTTGTTTATGATCGCCGGAACTAACACGATCCAGTCAAAGAACGTTTATTATGGTGGACTGCTCCGACTGGGGAAAGGCCGATATTCGCTGTTAATGATCTGTCCCGAGGATGAATGAAGTTGATCGATGTAACGATTAGACTGTGGCATGACAACGTTTACTGACGGTTGATAACGTTTTCAAATTGACTGATAAAATTGACTTTAGCGGTTTCGGATGACTGATGGCAGGGGCTATAAAATCTTGTATTGAACGATGCGAAAACAATCACTTGCTTCTATTGAAGTATTGACGATGCGCTGATAGTTATGTTGAAGTGCTAATACGCTGAAACTGTCGTACTTTCTATTTCATGATGCGCCAGATATGAAATGTGAAGAAAGAATCACCAACAACGTCGATTGATAATGAAAGTAATCGGCATGAATTGAGAATATACGTTCACCAATTGTTTCTTTATTATATTTGCCGTGATTAACTTTCTGGGACTGCCATTAACAATCACGTAAGAAAATATTCTTCTTCTGCGGCAAACCATACTCTGTGGTGGCGGATAATGATCACCAACCTGGTCTTTTCAATTCTGCTGGTTTAATAAACCTTCATGGACGTCATATCAATCTTCATAATCTATGAATGATATCTGAATTCATGACGCTCTCTAATAACGCTCCGCCGACGTCTCCATCGTCGCGGTTTCATCTTCTGGATATCTGACGAAATAGCAACAATACGGAAACATCATAACGCGAACTGTTAACGAATGAACTAACGAATGATGGCAATGAACGAATGATGACTTTGAAATTATTGGTATTGATGATAATGAATGACTGAAATTGAAGGCGATAACGACCGGTGATGGCACAAAAGGGTATTGATAACGTGATAACGAGGTACTGAACTGATAACGATGAACCAACGAATTGACGGTGATGAACGGGTAATTGATGAAGGAGATGACGAACGAATAACGGTGAATAACGAATTATGGAACGATTTGTGTTCGGCGCGAATTGATGACTAATGGTGAAGATGATGGCTGGTGGTGTTCAACGTTGTCGTGACTGTTTGATGACCTTTGGGCTGGTGATAACGATGTGAGCTTTGATGAGTGACAACATTGAATGGCTTTGAGGTAATGATGATAATGTGGTGTTAACAGAGTAGTGTTGGGCATGACGATGGCGGTGAAGCCAGTGATGGCTTTGGTATTGGTGATAATGGTGAATGGCTGAGTATTGACGGTAATGTTGATGTTAACAGGGCTATTGGTGATAACGTGATAACGGGGTATTGATGATAATGATGATGTTAACAAAGTATTGGTGATAATGTTGAACAGGGCAATGATGACAATGATTTTACTATGACGTATTGAGCGCAAACCTGAGTCTTTGCTTTGAAACGGCACTGCCTGGAACTAACTTTCCTCTAAGAGAACACGAGAAAGATCGCAAAATCATGCGATGAAGGAAAGCGGGTGATGCCAGATATGAACATGGTACGGCGAACATGGTTGCGTCACTGATGAACTTTAATGATGGCATGCCGGCACAAACCGCTGCTATGGCTTCGGGATATGCGTAGATAATGTGATGCTCACTTATGAAGTATGCCGGCGCGGGAACCTTCGAAGAACCAACAGTACGGTGGCATTAACTCGCCTTATGATATGCCGGCTTCCGATTGCTGGAGATAGGTGGTAATGTTAAAGCATTAAATGCGCCGACGTTCATTCTACGTGGCAATATTGATGCATGATATTTAACGAACGTCTCGTCATTGAATACTGGCACAAAGGCCTGGCTGCAATGATACTGGCATGATAACGCAAAACCGAAACATATAGCGTAATGTTTTGGCGAATATGCTGTGCCCTTCCGGAAGAAAAGATGCGGCACAACACTGGCGGATGCGAAATACCGATATATGCGGTTAGCAATGTTCGAACGAACATATATATGACCGACTGTAGACTGTTTGCGCAACGACGAAGCGCCCCATGAATAACATTATACTGTTCAATACGGTGCTTTGAACCGGACAAGCATGCCAGAACCAGCCGTTCTGTTCGATGATCGAAATCCCGGCATCGAAAATCGCTCTTTTATTGTTTCCTCATCCGTGAAAACCGCCAGAAATAAACTGAAATTTTATACCAAAGGCAAGGTGCGTAATACTAAACGTTTAAAATGAGGAATTCACGGTAAATAAGGAATCAACTTAAGCGAGTTCCGTGTTTGTACCAATGTCGACCCGGCGTGTCGTTTATCGATCATCTGACGAATTGATCGATTAGTATACTTATATGTTAACTTCATTAGCTGGTATCTTGTGAAACTTCCAAAGTACGTAACAATACTATAATGAGCACTTTTATCAGAAAACATTACCCTGACATTGCTGATGTATTGCTGAATGAGGGTAATGCTCGCTCGCGCGCAGACGTATTGATTTATTTTTATCGCGCGCTCGTAATATTCGAAGCTATATTGTCAATCTATGGCAGAGTCGGGTTGAAGATTGATGATCGGCACCCGGCATTGATGCACGAATGAAACCGATGACGTAATGACAACCACCGATCCGTTAATTTCTTATCGGTGAATCATCTAACCCGAACAGTCAGGAGGACGGTATTAACGCTGCAGTACCAATTTATGGTGTCTCTGTTTTTGAACACTATGGGGTGAAATATCGGCGCAAATATAAAGATCGGGAAAACTATCGTCTGGCTAGCTACCGCTCACGGTAAATGGTATTGATGTAATTATCACTGGATCATCTGGCTTAATATTGTGCGTGAACGAAACAGCAAATACCTGGCGGATTCGCGCAGTAAATCCCAATCATTTCTGCTTATTGCTATTTATTATTTTATGTATGGTGATTAATTATTACGATGTTGAAAATGACTCGCTAGCTATTTCCGCTCTGTCGCTGTCGCCAATTGACAATAATTAACTATTGACGCAGAGAATATAAATCGGCGCGAACCATGTCTGAAATAACGCTAGTAGTGGTTGTATTCCTTTCTTATGTTTGACTGAATCGGCACTTTAATAATTCGATCGGTTGTGAAATAGTCGAACGGTTATTCATGGCGTGATAAATATTTAGGCGCGGCATTTACCGGCTTTCTAATTTGTCATTTTCAGATTGACTATTTTACGGACGAATGTTCTTATAGATGCGTAGTACGGGGTCGCGCGGCCTTTGTCTGGCGCAACACTATTAACGAATTGAAAGTGTGCCTCTTTCAGAGTCGTACTTACGGTATGTAATCGAGATGAACATCTTGATCAACACTGAAAGATGAACTTCGGCTATATTACGTTATTGACAACGCTTTGCTTAATACGTATGTATATTTAAGCGAATGTGGTAAAGAGACAACTTGCGTGAATCTACCCATTGGATATTGTGTTTGGTCACCGGGTTTTCATGCGGCGGCGTTCGATTAGCGCCGCGTATCGACATTTCAACCGAACTTTCGTTCGTAGGCGCAGTTCACGCGTAATGTATGCGTTCGCAGTGCGCCTTAAATCGTCGTCAGGTGTCTGGGCATTGACGAACATATGGCTTTATTATGGCTTTGTCGGCTGGTCATATCGCTTTAGTCGAACATTGCAAACTGGAATTGGCGGTCGGGAATCGAAGGCATGAATTATTTAGGCATCGGGTCATGGCTATCGGCTTTCGGTTAGCGGTTGACGTTTGAATGGCGGTGGCGACCGCCGTTGATGACTAACGTTGTTGGGAGATATCCCGGAAATTGTCGTCAAATGCCAACATGCGGAATGAATTATTTTAGTTTATACTACGCTTACATTGAACGGCGTGGTTGAACTCGATTTCACGTGAAGTCATGGCTTTGTCGGTCGATGCTCGCGAACGTGGCCTTGTATTTCTTCTTCCGTATTCTTTTCCTTTCTGATATGGTGACTCGCCAACTGTGCATTTATTGTTGTGATAATTCTGAAGTATTCAACACTTATTATTCGATATTGTATGAATATTCGTTTTGTTATGTATGGCGGTAAAGAGGCCATTGATATTATGTTGTACGTGCGATTGCGTATTGAACTTTCGAAAGCGTTGTTTGATGTCAGCAAATTCGGATATTTCCGGTACGTAGTGCCATTAGATATAACAGGTTGACTTTACATCAGTGATCAATGGTTTTCGGCTGTTTGAAATCGCTCTTCTTTGTTTGACAGAGAAAGACAAAGTCTTTAAAATGTTGTAATTTATCGTGACCAACTAAAGATTGTCTACTGAATTGTCGGCATCTTTCTTAAACCACGATATGAAGACTTCGAAGATTATCTGCCCAATTGTCATCTGTTGTGAAGTTATAGGTTTTCAATACCGAAAACGAATCACCTACTTCGTTTTCTTTAGTGCTGCTATTTCATAATGATAAACTGCGATTTTCGTTCGAGCATTTCATTTGACCTATTATCCATCGGCGCATTATCAAAGCGTAAAGTATTCTCTTATCCTTGAATGTTGAGTGATATTCCATGTACCAAAACGATATTAGTTACCTAGAATTGATTATACGCGTGACAAAATAAACACCCGGTATTCGCGATATTGTCGTATAAGTGCAGGTAAAAGGCTTTGCGTTAATGGCAGATGTTCTGTATTCGACGATATTCGAGCATGACTAAACCCTAACCTTCGCTCTTTCACATAACTTTCTGTTCCGTGTTAATATTCAGCTAACCTGCTCTTGAACTTTCATTTGTTGACACGTCTGCCATCTCGACGAGCATGATGTTCGATGAACTGAATTGTCTGATCCGGGCTCGATATTACAAACCGCCGCCGCTATAACTGGAATATTAACGACGTAAACTCACTCTCCTCAAACGTTGATACTCAAACGTATTAAAACTGTGCGTAAACGTCATACCGGCTTCAATGGCACCACTGATTGACGTATTCACGTACCGTCTATTAATCAATGTTCCCCATCGACGAATTAACTTGCGGACCGTATAGGCAGACTTCTTTAAAACGCGATGAGGGAATTGATTGCATCGCTGGCAATATTCCATCTTATTCTCGAGGCTGAAACCGAAATGAGTTTCTTACGTTAACTACATGTTGAGTCGAGCTGATGGCTGTTGGTACTGCTGGAGTTAAATTCTGGAGTAACGCTCGAACGGTGGGCGTAATTTTTGACCTTTCAACCGATTTTTAGTGCTATATTATCTTTGCGGTAAAACTGACTCAAACGCCGCTTTGCCTTTCGGTTTCGTTTTCAGCTCACCAGTTTCGAAGGTTCTCGCAAAATCGAGCTGTCAGGCGTCATTCTTTCGAAACTACGCGTATTTCATATATATTCGAACTCGCCGTTATCGAAAACGGACGTTGCCAAATGTTGAAATTACTGTTGCAAACCGAAGCGTGAGGTGATGTTGACTATGATTTATCGGCATCATGTTTAATACCGAACTGGTCGAAAGCACTTAATGTTTGCGTATGAATCAAACGTATTGATTGTTTGACGGAATTTATGTTATCTTCTGTATAAACCGTCTTTAGATGACAATGACGGTTAAACTGAGCGCGAACGTGGATGAACGAATTTGTTGATATTGACCATTCTTGGTGCAGTGTCATTTCATTTTAGTCCATTGATATTTTGGTACGGTTTGACTTTACTTGGTGTTGTTGAACGGTCGCCAGTTCGTCTTGTACGGTATTGGTACCGAAGATTGTTATTGTTATTCGTATTATTATTCGATGATGATTATTATTCGGTAGTATTCTGTATTATTATTATTCGGTATTCAATATTATTATTATTATTAAATGATGATATTATTATTGATGACCATTATTATTGTCGGGCACCGGAAAAGCACTATGGTGACCATTGACGACTAGCCGGGCTGATTACGTCGGCGGGACTTCGGCTTTGTTCTTGCGGAGTTTGCGGTGTTAGGTGTTGGATGCTGATATTGTTTATTGGCACATGTTGAACGAACGGTTCGACAATGAAATGTGAAACGTTAGCGCTGCCTAGTCATATTGCGTCCCGATGAAACGTGGTTGCGTGGTGTGTTGTTTTGCGAAAACCGGCGTATTTCCGTCTGCTGTTCACGCTTTGCTGGGGATCGAATCATAGATTCGGCGAAGGCTATGATATTGAGGGTCAGAATTTGGTTTAAATGCCTGAAGCTGTTGTGGCATGGATCACAAAACTGTCTTAATAAAGTGATGTGTTTAGATTTCCATGTTTGGATGGTGGCGTCGGCTTCAGCTGGTCAGCTGTTATTTTTA